CTTAGTAACAGCCTTCTGTCAAAATTTTGTCAAGATGCGAGCAGTCCAGAGTAATAGAAGGACAAAGTATTACTAGACAAAGAATATACGGGCTCACTGATGGAAATAAGTAACATTTTTGTTGTAATGTATGTGTCTTATGTGACCTTCAACATTCAAGAAATATATTTAATTCGAAACTTTTTATGATTACAATATTCCTTTATTAAATAGACGGGAAGTAAAAACTTCAGAAAAGTATCTATAATACACTACGCGTATTTTATTCAAGCTCGGGTGTTACTCATAATAAATCTTAATAAATGACCAAGATAGATATGCTTAAATACCTAAACATCACTATTCCATATTTTATTCGTATATATCTTTCTGGCTCTATCTCTTTGATCCAATTACTGAAACTGAATTCTGACTAGTACAATCGCATGTAATAAATCAACGACTATACAAACGTTTCATTGTGCTTGGCTAAATGGCCTCTGAAACGTCAGGTGTAAACGGACACATAAGGGTATATATGCACGGGCCATGGTGACCTGTCATTATTTGAGTACTTCGTATGGTGTAAACATTATCACGGATAAATCAGAGCCGGAATCAGGGGATAAGCTTCGGAAGTTGCATTAATCTGAAGGCTATTGCAGATTGTTGAATAACACAGGCGAACAGAAAACGACAAATTCTACAAGTTAAGCATATTCACAACCAAACCAGATTATCAAAAATTCGTAAAAAAAGTGACGCATCGGCGGACTGACTAAAACTAAAGATAATAATAATAATAATAATAATAAGTTTATTGCAAAAGAAAAAGTATAGCAGTTGTAGATGAAAGACAATATTATACAATAAACGAATGGACCCAAAAAAGTTTCGCAGAAACTTGTGCTTGGGCATGAGCTCATGTATAAATAACTGAAGACTAAAAAAAAACAAAACAAAATATATATATATATAAAATTTATTAGACAAGTCCTGGTAAAATTTTTAAAAAGACACGGAGACGCAAAATCGGGACGTAGACGCAATCGGGATAGAGACAATATTGAAACAAAAGACAATATTAGGTGATTAGACAAGAACAAAAATTGGTAAAAATAAGGCATAAAATGCAATAATTCAGGAGGTAAGAATTCAAATCAGTTTGATTTATACATTTTTTTTTCATTTTGAAATTCCAATAATCTTGAGAGATGTCCGCTTTCAGTAGTAGTAGATATTTTTGATATCAATCGCTTGATGAATCTTGAGCCTATGCTGGTCCAAAATCCACAGTCTTAGATGCTTTTTCATAACTTTTGTATTTTTAATATCTTTTATCTGAGGGAGGGATTAAGTTATATATTTTTGGTCCTAGGAAAGTGAAACTCCTCTGACCTATGGTCTTTTTAGGCTTTGGTATGCGTACTGAATGATCTTTGGATCTGGTGTGATGGTCATGTGGGAGGAAATTTAATAAATGCTTATGTTTTGTAATATATGTGAACACACTCTCGAAATAGAGTTGCCTACAATCAAATATCTTGGATACCTTATATATCATATCGGTTGGATAGGTGTTAGTTTTGTGGAACATGATTTTAAGAATCCATTTCTGAGTTATTTCTAGTTTCCTGTAGTATTTATTCAACACAGGTCCCCATGCCAAAATTCCATAAGTTAACAACGGTTGTACTAACGTTTTGTATATGGTGCATAAGTCTTTATCAGACAGAATTTCCCTAAAAAATTTAAATTTTGGTATAAGACATCTTAATCTCTTCGTTAAGCTTTCTATTTGTTTGTCCCATTTTAGGTGGCTGTCTATTATGATTCCTAGGTATTTTATATGATTTGCTGGCTTTAGGACTACTACTTCATCTATTGGTGGTAATTTGATGTGTATATTATTGAATGTGGGACTGTTTCTATCATCACATGAAAAAGTCATATATAAAGTTTTTTCATAATTGATTGTTAATATTTTATTATTGAAGAAGCTTATAATGACTCTGAAATCCTCTTCAATAAGAGTCTTTAAGATATCCCAAGATTTTTCGCTATAAAAAACAGCCGTATCATCTGCGAACCCGATAATTTTACCGTGTGTGTGTAGGTTAAAAAGATCATTTAGATATAGGTTGAACAGGATAGGTCCTAAGACTGTACCTTGTGGGATACCGTATGTTACATGGTGCAAGTCGCTGATGGAATTATTAACTTTCACACATTGATTCTTATCTGAAAGGTAGCTTTTGAGTAAAGTATGTGTTTTGCCACGAAATCCTAGATTCTCCAAAGTAGTTAGTAATTATTTGTGTTCAACTGTATCAAATGCCTTCTTTAAATCTATAAAGACACAGGGCAATGGGTTTCCCAAATCTAGACTGGTATTCACGTTTTCCATCAAAACTGCAATTGCATCTTGCGTGGATTTTCCTTCTTGGAAACCATATTGCTGCTTAGATAGAAGTCTATATTTAGAAATAAAATTAGTAAAACGGGCCTTCAAAACTTTTTCAAAAATCCTTGAGAAAATGCTTAGTAGTGAGATTGGTCTATAATTGGAAGATGAAAACATATTGCGGATGCCGCCAATATATGACAGCGTCCTCACTTTTTTCTAGTGCGAGCTTTCAATATGTTTATCAGCCTCTTCAGAAATCGACAATATGTAATGAATGTAGGCACACATTATTACAGTATCATATAAATAAATTACAGAACAAATTTTCCAAAATACAATATTAACCCTTTCACGTTCTAAAAGTTAGTTAATATAACAATATAGCATTTTGTATCAATTCCTGAAGAAGCTAATGAATATAAGCGAAAGCTCAAATTAGAAAAAATTACCAAGAGCTATCGTCGTTTAATATTAGCATCCGAAAAAAAAATATCAAAACCGAATGTCACTAAATATTTCTCCACCACGTTTCCGACTTACAAATTTCGTCAGCTATCCGTGTCCAAGCAGTCGGTAGCTATAAAGCTGCGACAGCCGTACCGATGCAATATTTCTATAATTAGCACTACATCACAGCCGTGCGGTAGTACCGAGTACAGAAGTACTGTCATCCCGACCGAATGCCATCAAGTACTGATCGGAGCAAATCAGTGTAGGAAAAGAGGTTAGTAGATGACCTACGCGCCATGCCAGGGTACAACTTGTGGATAAATGACACTTGCTGCAGTCGAATTAGGCATCCTGTTGCGTGATATATACGTACACTGAGAACCAAAATTATACACACCTTTCTCTCGTATACTTTAAACACAAGCCGTCAGAAAAATTTGGTTTTCAGCGTATATCACGCACGGTAGATTGCAGCCGGCTTCTATCTCTTTCTAACATACAGGGTTTGTCCGGAAAGTAATAGGACTGAGTCGATTTAAAAAAAATTATTGAGCCAATTGTTACAATTCTTAAAAACCTTCAAAATAGGCTCCTTCTGCGTCGATGCATTGAAGGCGTCACGGAAGGCATTCTCCGGAATAGCCTTGAGAGCCGCGGTGCCTGCTGCTTGGATCCCCTCTGTCGTCTCAAAATGCTTGCCTTTCATCGGCCTTTTCAGGCGAGGAAACAAAAAAAATTCCGGGGGTGGCACATCTGGGCTGTAGGGCGGCTGCGGAAGCGTTGGGATGCCGGCCTTGGTCAGGCAGCTGTTAACAAGAAAGGCGGTGTGAGCCGGGGTGTTGTCGTGGTGCAACTTCCAGTCAGCTGCGATGTCTTGTCGGACCCGACTGACCCTTCGTTTGAGTCTCCTGAGCACTTCCACGTAAAACTTGGCGTTGATGGTTTGTCCAGGAGGAACAAGTTCATGGTGGACGATGCCTTTGATGTCAAAAAAGACAATGAGCATCGTTTTCACTTTGGATTTGCTTATTTTTCCCTTTTTTGGGCGAGGAGACGCCGTCGTGTGCCACTCGGAAGACTGCCTCTTTGTCTCGAGATCATACTCAAAAATCCACGACTCGTCACCTATGATTACGTTATTCAAAAACTGAGTCACTTTCACACATGTTCAAATTTTCTTGGCACCCTTCCACTCGCCGCAATTTCTGGTCGTCAGTGAGCACTTTTGGGACCATCTTCGCGCACACCTTGCGCATGTTCGAATGCTGTGTCACAATGTCATGAACCACGGATTTTGGTAAATGTAATATCTGGGCAATTAAACGAATACTTAGTCGACGGTCTGAGTTCAAAACTTTGCGCACACGAGTCACATTATCGGTGTTTGTCGAACTCGAAGGTCTTCCAGCACGGTCTTCATCAGCGACCTCTTCCCGGTCCTCCAAAAAGGCGTGGTGCCACCGAAACACGCCACTTTTTGCTAAAGCAACACCTGGGTAAGCCTGCTTGATCATATCATATCCAAGTGCTCGGAGACAACTGACCAGCCGCTCATTCGTTAGCTAGGAACGCCCTCTACCGAATCTAGTCGCGCACGCTCCGAAGTACAGTCATGGCGGAAGAAAATGAGTCCTATTACTTTCCGGACAAACCCTGTATGTGTCTATACACACTGCTCCCTCGTACACATTGAACTCAAGCCGTCAGGCAAATTTGGTTTTCCCTGTATGTTTCGACATAATGGGTGATATGCATAAATTTGAGTGGGTTCTCAGAAGTAGCGACTCCATATTGTAGCGAGTAACTACTCCTGTTAGGGAGAGCCTACTCGGTTTTGATATGCATAAAATATTTGTCGAGAAACGGAGAGGCTACTCAAGTGCTAATGAAATACTTGAGTAGGCACTCTGGTTTTCGAGTTCCGACTGTTTTGTTGTCTCGCAGAATTGGCAATTTCAAAATCAAACCGGAAACAAACCAATAAAATTGAAAGGATGGGAACAAGAACTGTTCAATTTTCTACAAGGAGAATCAAATCCTAATATTGCTCGATTGCAATGTTAGTTGTATTTTTTTGTTTTTCCATACAGTAGGTATAAGATGTGATTGAGTATAATATACATACATGTCAATAAATATAAATAGCATATATTTTAAATTTTAGGTGCTGTTGTGGCAGGTTGCCCACAAAAAAGCGTTCATTACCCTCCAACAGCCTGTGCTGAAGAAGAAACAATCACCGAAGAAGCATCTGGAAGTTCAGGACCAGTACCACAATGAAAGCCGGACCCCGTAAGGAGCCTTCTAAAAAAGAGCACTTTTTCTGTATCGACGCGTATTTTGTTATGTAGAATGGGAAAAAGCTGTTTTAGTTGCCCGAAACATCTCTCTATTATAACTCGCTCTCTCGTAAACAGCCGATTGTATGATCATTGTTCTGCTGTTTCTGCAATCCTAAAAGGAGTCATGAGCCAAGGAGCTGTACCATACCCAGAGTCTCCCAACAAAACAGCACTAGCCCTATTCCATTTGATGACGTTGTATATATCAGAATTCTTCCATCCAAGTCTTCGTTTGAATTGCACGTTGCTTGTACATTTATACTAGCAAAGTTCTTTCTGTTCACATATTCGTCTGCATGAATAAACGGCTTCAGAATAGGTATATGGGTGCAGTCGATAGCACCAATAGCTGAAGGAAAATTGCCACTTATTTTTAGCATTGTGAGATCTTCACATGAGGTTGGGAATCTAATCCAAATATTCGACTTCTGCACAATGCGTGTTATAACGTTGATAACGGTTCGGGATACCGTAGATTGATGGACACAAATATCTTCTCCTATACCAATTTGAAATCCTGGATCACCCACATATCGTAAAAAACCCGCATTCTTTCTATATTGCTCAAAGCACCGCCCCTATATTCTTCTGTCTCTCCAAGAAAATGATTACTTATCCACTCAACATTAACTTTACTAAAGCGATATAAGGCCTGATAGTCTACTTCCCTTGATTCCCTACGATCTTTAAACACCTTCGTAGGATGATAAATAGGCATAAATTCGGCCATTTCGTGAAGACATCCACTTCTTATAAAGCTGAGTCTACTACTAGGTATCTCGCATTTCTTTAAGTATGTACTCAGCGGTCGGAGTGGACGCTCGCTTTTATGCATATAAAAATTGAAGTCGGCACTCAAAGAGCGAGTACAGCCTCACGGAAAGAGTAGAAACTTATGAGTGTGAGCTTCTACTTACATTTTTATGCATATCAAATGGAGTGGCTACTTTAAAAATGCGAGTCAAAAGTAGCCACTCGCCTTTATGCATATCACCCAATAAATCAATCGTGAGCGTACTAAGCCTTAGTTAAAGTGAAGTATGAATCATAAGCGGTTCAAAAAATTGACGATTTTCTTTTTGAATACGTCCTGAAGATAGAAAAGGGAAAATGAAGATTGAAAATGCTCTGAAATCTACAAAGCTTTTGCCGTATGGCACGATAGCAATTACGTGACAAAAGTTCATCAACGTTATGAGTTATAGAAGAGCCAAGGATGCCGGACAGACAACAAACAGAAAAATCGACGGAAATGAGCGACATGTAGTATCTAAAAAATATACTAACGAAAACAGTAAGCTCGAATCAGCCCTTTCAAGGCAATCTTAACACTAAGGTACACCATCCTCCCCCTCTAAATTTTGATTCTAAGAAGGACATCGATGACACAAAAATAAAATATAAGCTGATTTATAAATCCTACTTGAGCGTACCAAAAGGGTTTCTGTAAAAATGTAATTTTCCTTTAGAGTACTCTCAAACTATACCCAGAAAATGAAAAAAGACGAATTAATTTTGCAGCATATTTGTTGTATTTCATAACTATTAGACTATTCCGGGACATTTTATCTTTTGGGTGAACAAAATTTTGTTAAAATAAATGCTATATCCCCATCTTAGCTCCACATGAGAGTTTTGCCAATCAAAAAATGGTATTTTAGGCCGAAAATATTTGAAATACAAAATAATACCATGACTATTTTATTCCAGGTTTAAGAAATTTCGTCAAAACTATCTAATTTCCAAACAATTCAATGCTATATTTCGGCACCAACATTTTTCCATTTTGCAAAAACAAAGAATCCCTTGCTAAAGCTTACAAGGTAAGCAATCAAAAGCAAAGATTATTATGCTTATCTAAATATAAGCTGCTTCAGAGATTATAGTAGATAACCTGTTATAAGCATTACATGTGTACGAGCCCCTTCCCACTTTAGTTGTCCCAACTATGGGAATCTTAGTTTTTTTCTTATCAAACACAAATAATAAAAATGTAGCAGGGTAGAAGGCAAAATAAGTCTATAACGCATAGGTGGCTGTGAAAAATAAAAGCCATGGCAATTGTTTTTATTAATCACAGCTGTCAGAATACGTTTAAAATAGTTTTGGGTAGTTAAGGTTTTCAAAATGGATACAGGAAAATTCGGTTACTGATAATTAAATTTTTTAATTCTGGGAAATCAAACTCAGAAATTGCAACTTTGTTAGACTTATCGCGGTACAGTGTCAGAAATATTGTTAGAAGATATAACGTAAGTGGTTCAGTTAATATTAAGCCACGATATGTGAAAAAAAGTAATAACACAAATGCCGACCGAAGAGCATTAAGAAGAATAATCGTGAAAAACAGGCGTGCCAATTATTTACAATTAAGTGCTCTGTAGAGTGATGCTGTCGGAAGGAGAATTTCGAGGTCCACAACTCATAGAGAGACCCACAAACTGGGATTCAACACTTGCAAGGTAAGTTTTCTTATAAAAAAAAGTGAAGTAAAAGCCCTAAAGTTGCACAACTTGTTTATAGTCCAAAGAAAAGCCACTATTAACTTCACTGCAAAAGAAAAATCGTCTTAGATGGACTAAAGAACATAGACAATGGACACCTCAACGAGAGAGAGAAAAGTGAAATTTCCAGCATCCATTATGGTCTGGGGCAGTATGTCATCAAAAGGAGTAGGAAAACTTTATTGATGGAAATGTGGATACAAACAAATATTTGGCAATTTTAGAAGAATCGCTTTTACCAGTGATGGAAGAATGTTTGACATCCGGCCAAGATCTTTTGTTTCAGCACGATGGTGCAGCGTGCCATACTCAAAAAAGGCTATAAAATGGATGAACCAAAATAATGTACCTCTTTTGAAATGGGTTTCTAGCAGTCCAGATCTGTAACCTATTGAAACTTTGTGGCACGAGATGAAAAAGGTTCTACGACAACATCCTGCTCGTACAATCACCGAACGAAAGAATTTCAGCCGTAATAAAAAGTAAAGGTGATGTTACCCAATGGTAATCTTTCAATTGTTGCTTTGTTAACTTCGCGCCTTTATTCGCACATTGTCTATTTGTTCAGATGTTCTATTAGTTATAGGTCTAAGTGATTTCAAATATGTATTTTTTACGACTAGAGTGTATCTAAAATGTTTTTGAGAAAATAAATTGTTTTAGAAGTAAATAGTTTCGTCATGTTTGGTTTATAAAGGCATATTTTGGTACAAATCTTGAAGTGGACCAACTGAAGTGGGAAGGGGCTCATATATGTCCAGGTTAGATAAAAAACGGCCTTTTGTCGAAATGCTGCCGACTATGTTGTTTTACCTTATCTATGTCGATGACGCTTAATATTCCTGAACTTTTCAGATATTTGGTATTCCTCAGATATATTTTAGAAGGCATTATATTTATTTGCTTCTTGTTCTGTATGTTGTACGAAGAATATATTATTGAATATGAAGACATAGACATCCTTAAGAAACATTCCACCAAACGCTACTATTAAATGTATTATTGACAAATTTGAAATACAAGAGAAAGAGCCCAAGAAAACGTTAGTTTCAACACAATCTTGAGTAATTCTTTGATTACTTACTATTTTGCCTATCGATTATTCTTGTTGTCACACGTGAGCTTCTTATTTTACAAAAATCCTTGAAACTTTTTCTTATTGGGACATGTGAGCTTCTTAGTTTACAAAAACATTTTCTATATATAGTGCAAAGTTTCGATCTACCCCTCATATACCGACAAGCTCATTAGTTCCGAATACGAATTTTCACTTTAGTTTTTTATTAAACTAATAACTCTGGATGACTCCGTAGGCAAGAACCTGGAAGTTTTCAATTCCGTAGGGCTATCAACCCATAAACTGGGTCCTCGCCGACCTGTCCAACGATCTCCGTATGTCTTTGATGAAAAAATTCGTAAGCAATCTTATTCCACTTGTTATATGCTTACATTCTAGCTAAAGGTGCCTAAATATTTGGAACAGAATTTGAAGAATAAAGAACCTCGAATGTAATTTCCGCTATTAATACAATGATGTCAAGTACTTTCCACGCAACACTGCTCTCAGCTCATAGAGGATTATGTTCGGTACAAGTTAACCCTTCTGTGAAAAAACTTAGCTAGGAACATGTCTAACAAATCAGGCCATTACAATTAGTACATCATCTGCACCTAATGAACGACGTTGCGGTATACAAATTTCTCACCTGCGATGATACCAGCCATCTGACAACATTGCTATGACTATCCTCGCCAGTCGCCACGCATCGGTCAGTCATTAGTCAGACCTCGAGGGATGTATTCTACGTTCGATGCGGTTGTCACGACGCATGTGTTGAAAATATTTATCATTCCGAATTTCAAGGACACATCTATGATGTGTGAAATATGTATAACAGATGCGTAGAATTACCTGGGTTGAAAGCGTATAAATACACTAATGTCAAACCCCCTCTCCAACCCCAATTTCAATCCTAATTTTTTTCTCAAAATGGTCAGAATCGTCTGGAACGTCAAAAAACAAAAATTATGCGGTTTGTATTTGTTTAACATTGTAGTAACTTTATTTCAAAATTCCATCAATGTTCGAACGGTACGTTCCAACTTATAGAGGGTCAAGGATCAGCGAACAGAGACAGACAGACCGATGGAAATCAGTGACATGGTTTTGCGTGATTCACATCTCATGTAACATCCTAAAAACATATATCATTTCCGAAATTATCCTCAATTACAATAGTTCCTCGCCAGTAATTTGTGAAGTAAAATGTAATTCAATGGAAATTTCATTCGTCCTGCATACGAAACAGTTATTTGAAATTTGTCAGTGAGGCATTCCACGTGAAGCAGACACCGAAAATAATGGTCCTGTTTGTACATCTAGCAGTATGGAAGAGAAAATACGATTTTTTTTCGTTGCACGTTTAGTTACGGGATTCGATAAGTAGCCGTACTTGA